CGCTCGCCTGTATATATTAGATGTTCGCGTCATCATTATCTGTTGTATATATTAGCCGATAAGTTGCGCGTATAATTAACGTACAAATTCGTAATTCGTGACTCACGCGAGACGTTGGCGGATCGCGATAGATAGCAACACTCGCGCGACTCACCCGACTTGTGCTGCCCGCCCACGGGTGGCCCGCAATTATTTGGAACCATGAGTACTCGCTCCGGCCGCAATTCGCAGGTGCGTGAGCCGAGGAGTACCGTGGGGGATTCGTCGTTCAAACGTGGACTCGAACACACACACTCGCCTTGCTCTCGCACTGTTCGGAGTAATCGAGTGAACTCGCACTTTCGGAGCTCGACAAGTCGTGACCGTGATCCCGGGCCTTGAGTGCTTGCATCTTGCACATGTGCCTGCTATATCGCCTGCTTGACCGTATTGCACGTTTTGCCTGCCTGCCTGCGGCACGTGAGTGCCTGCACATCCTAGCCTGCTGCACGCTTTCCGCTCTCCATCACCACAGGGAGGACCGGACGCCACGAGGCCACCACGAGAACATCGGGCAACGATACGGTGAGTCGCTTTTCGCTTGCTATTGCGCTTTATTCGCCTAATTAAAATTGTGAGGGGATTGCCCCTCTGGTCCTTCGAACCACGAGGCCTCATTGACCGATCGCAAATCCGGGGCGATTGACACCCCCCCGAGCAATAAGAATAATCTCTCTATTGTTTTTTTTTTTAAGTTCTCTTAGAATTTTACTTAAAAAGCAGATAAAAAGTAAGGTTTTTTTCATTATTTTTTTGTGATATACGCGATATATATTTGAAGACATGTTTAATATACATATATAGGTAATAAAAATATATATATATATGTTGGAACATAGATAAGAGCAAAAGTAAGTTTTGTGTGATTTTATCGTGCAATGTTTTATTTTATAAAAAAGTTTATTATACAATGTAGCACCATAGTTTAAATAAACTATGTTTCCAATGATATTCCATTATTAATATTAACTCTAATGTTGTTTCTATTATTTATGTTTTAATAAATGCATTTTATAAGTACCAATTAGTCTCCAAATTAACAAATTACTTGTATATATGGACTATGTACTGAAACAAATAAATTGAAACAAACAAATTGAAACATGTAATATAAATGTTTTCTTAACTCTAAATATATCCAATATACCTAAAATTACCTTAAACCTACATATACCTAAATATATATAACTGAAAAGATAATTACATATAGAAGTACAAATAGTAAATAAAAATAGTTCTTTTTATATTTCCTATCTAAAAAGACGTTCAATTAATGTATTCCGCACGACAAAACCGTCTCCAGGTTGCCAATGAGGTTGAGGCACTGGAACTTCGTCATTTATATTTTCTTCTGCTTCTTCATCTTCTTCTTCCTCCAAATTATCATTTAAAATTAATGTTAGATTATGCAAAACTGCACATGCTACAACAATTGTTGTGGAAGTTAACAACTTTGTACTCAGTCCTCTCGATAAGCACGGAAATCTGCGTTTCCAAACGCCGAAAGTTCTCTCGACAATTACTCTTGTCCTTCTATGGATTATGTTGTAGCTGCAAAAAAAGTGTGTATACGTATAAATTCTTTGTGTGTGCATGTGTGTGTGTGTGTGTGTGTGTGTGTGTGTGTGTGTGTGTGTGTGTGTGTGTGTGTGTGT